TAACGCACCCACTAAAATAACACAAGGAATCACAGTTAATACACTGCCAAAGGAGATAAAATAAGATCATAAAAAATACCTCATTAACTCAAAAGAAAAAAAAAGGAATAGGCAAAAAAAAGAGATGGGACAAATAGAAATCATAGCAAGATAAGAGACTTAAACCTAACAACATCAAATAATATTAAATGCAAATAGCCTAACTACACCACTTAAAAGGCAATGATTGTTGGATTGAAAAAGCAAAGCCTAACTGGTTACAAGAAACCCACTTTATTTTTATTAATTTATTCAAGAAACCCACTTTAAAGATATAAATAGACTAAATGTAAAATAAAAAAAAAAAAAATACCAGGTCAACAATAAAAGGAAGCAGGAGGGGCTATATTAACACCAAAGTAGAAATGAGAATAGAGGGGAGCCTGGGTGGCTCAGTCGGTTAAGCGTCTGCCTTCAACTTGGGTCATGACCCTGGGGTCCTGGGATCAAGCCCTGCATCGGGCTCCCTGCTCAGTGGGTAGTCTGCTTCTCACTCTCCCTCTGCCTCTCCCCCTGGCTTCTTCTCTCTCTTCTGCTCTCATTCTCTCAAATAAATGAATAAAGTCTTAAAAAAAAAAAAGAATAGAAAATGTTTCCAGGGATAAAAAAGGCCTATTTGTAATGATAAAGGGGCCAGTTCATCAGGAAAACATAATGCATAATGTTTATACACCTAATAGGAAAGCTTCATTATACATAAAGCAAAAATTAATGAAAACTCCAAGAACAAATCCACAATTATAGTTGGAGATTCCATCTCTCAATAAATTTAAAAGGATTCAAGTAATTCAAAGGACATAAGTACATTCTTTTTTTTTATTTTCAAAGATTTCATTTATTTATTTGACAGAGACACAGCAAGAGAGGGAACACAAGCAGGGAGAGTGGAAGAGGAGAAGCGGGCTTCCAAGAGAGGGAACACAAGCAGGGAGAGTGGGAGAGGAGAAGCGGGCTTCCCGCGGAGCAGGGAGCCCAATGCGGGGCTTGATCCTAGGCCCCTGGGATCACGACCTGAGCCAAAGGCAGATGCTTAACGACTGAGCCACCCAGGCGCCCAGACATAAGTACATTCTTGGACGATAGAGAATTTAGGAAATCAAGAATAGAGCTCAGGAAAATCCCTATTTGGAAAATAAATAGCACACTTCTAAAAAACCATGAGCCAAAGAAGAAATCAAAAGGAAAATTAAGAAGAATTCTGAACCGAATGAATATGAAAACACTCTTCAATATTTATTGGAACTTATCAGTATTTCTAAGATGCAGCTAAAGTAGAACTTAGAGGGAAATTTATAGCTCTAGAATATCTGTAGTAAAAAAGAATGACTTCAGCTAACTATTCTAGATGCATTAGCCAAAGCATTTAGAAAAAAGAAAATAATTAGGGACATGAGAACTGGAAAAGGAGGAATACAACTATGGTACATAAGCACACTGCAGTACCATGCAGCTATAATAAAGAATAAAGAAAATCCTTAATAAACTGGTTTGATAATTATTTCCAAGATATATTGTTAAGGGGAAAAGAGCCATCACAAAAGAGCTTATATAGTATGTTACCTTCTGTGTAATAAAGAAAGAGAAATAAGAAAGCATATATATATGCTTTTCTTTACCAAAAAGAACAAAGGATAAATCAGGTAGTGGGAAGGATTGGTAAGAGAGATGTACAAGGGAACTGCATTTCTCTGAGTACAGAGAGTTTACAGAGTTTTGGTAGTTTTGCCTTTGGAAGCATGTTATTGTTCTACAGATCCCAAAAATAAATCAACAAAGATGGAAGAGGGCAAAAAAATCTAAAACTGAAAGCAAAATGAAACAAATGAACCCGACCATATTTTTCCATACAAAACACAGCTAATCTGAAGGGGTGAAAAAAAATAATCAAAGTAACTTATAAATGAAATATTCATATACCCAATATTCAGTTGTAGGTAGTGTGGGGGATAGAGGAGAGTGAATTGCAAAAACCAAATTCTTAACTCATTCTACAATGATTTGGATGCATCAATTCTAAAACCATTTTGGATATAGTTTAGGTTTGAGGAAATGAGTAATTGTTGATGTTGTTGGGAGCCCATGTTCCCACACTGGAAAAGGAAGTTACAAAAAGAGAATGAGGAAAAGAAAGGAAGAACCCTGTATGAAAAGGCTGAAATCAGAGGTATTTGAATAGACACATGATTTCTAAAATGTGTATGTGTGTACATATATATTTATATATGTGTACATGTGTGTACTGACATGCATATATTTCCTAACTCTGTCTCCTTTAAGGGTCTAGAAGCAAAGACACCCCGATATAAATATGCATACCCAGTGCCCAGATCTTGGTTTCTAGTATCAAGACAAAACTGAGTATCTTGTGTTAGAAAAGAAAATGCTCAAAAAAATTATGGGTCCATGTCACAAGGACAAAGGAGCCAACTTGAAGGGGCTACCACTAGCCAAATCTGTGAAGTTTGAAAACCAAAACAATTTAATACAATCACAAATTGTAGGCCAGTGAAATAAACAGGAATCTATGAGTCCACACGGAATGAATGAATGAATAAAGGAAGGACTCTTGTGTATCTGTCCTTTATTTTTATGTAACTATTTATATAAAAATATATATTTATGTAAGTATATTTATTTGTATAAAAATAATATATTTTAGCAGCATACCTGTTTTTATTTTTTTTTGTATATTTTATCCATAAAACTTTTATAGTCAAAATTTAAAAACTTAGAGAAGGAAACAGCAATTTGTGGCCCTTATTTTTAGCTGATTCATTTTGCTATTTTTACATTCAATATTTAAATTTGTGCACATGCACACCAATTTCTCTATAGAAATTTTTCCTGCTTGCATCTCAGACTTTCCTTCTTCCTGAAATGCATCCTTTTAAAACTTTTTAATAGGGTTTTTTGGTCATAAAATGTTCTTCATCTGAAAGCATACTTATTCCACTTTCATTTTGAAACAGTTTTGCTGGGTAGACTTTTATAAGTTGAAAGTCATCTTCGTTGGGACTTGGAAGAATGCTTTTACTGTCTTCTGATTCCTACTGCTGCTGTTGAGAAATCAGCCGTTAATCTATTTGTTGCTCTTTGAAGGTGATTTTCTTTTCTCTGGCTTGCTACCAATATATCTATTTGTTTGGGAGGTAATAAATACAATTTCCCTGCAACGTGTCTAAATGCAATTTATTAATTTTTTTAAATGTGATTTCTTATTATATTTATACTGCTTGTAATTCACTGGGCCTCCTGAACCTATGTTCACATAGCTCTGGTTAGTGGAAGAGGTATCCTTTCTCCTGTTCAAGAAACAGTAATCCAGAGGATGTCACTTCTTCTGCCTTCTTAGGAATTCTTTATTATTTATTTACACTCTATTCTGTATCTTTAACTATCCCTTTCTCCCGGCTCTTTCCCTGGCGGCTTCTAGCGCTTCCTTCGAGAAAATGAAAATAGTAAAAAAAAAAAAAAGCGTGGCGATAATAGAAGTCGCTGACATATTCCGTTGAATGCGGTCCCCTCAGCTCCATCCCTTAAGAAGAATCTCCATACTCAGATGCATCCTCAGACAAGGTATTCCATGTTGACAGATCTCTCGCCTCACACAAAAAATCAGGACTCTTGCTTATAGACTGCTGAAGTAACAACTAGTAAATAGGAAGGAAGTGCTAGAGTTGGAAACCATCATTGTGCAATCATCAGGTAGGAATCAACAGTTTTTGCTAAATATAAGAGGGGAAGTTTTGATGAAAAGCAGAGTCTGTGCTTTTCTTAAATTATCTCCTCATATTACTTATTAGAAGGGACAAAAGTAGTAAATCTACAGTGGAGAAAGCAGACAATATCTTGTTAAGGTCATCAAAATAAACAGCACAAAATAAAGGACAGATGGACAACATGTGCCTCTGAATGTGATACACTGAAAAGGAAACATGATTTACCAGTATTTTGGTAAAGAATGCATAACCTGTGTCTAATCATGGGGAAACAAACCCATAAGGAGGAACATTCTGGGTGGGGTGACATGCAACATGTATTACTTAAAAATTACCATGAAAGACAAAGAAAGAAAGGTCGAGGGATGTATCCAGATTAAAGGAAACTAAAAAGATAGGACAACTAAATGCAGTATGTGACCCTAGTATAGATACTGTTCTGAAGCAAAAAGAAATGCTAAGGGACATTACTGGGTCAACTAAGAAAACTGGAATACAGATGAAATCAGAGAGAGGTACTGTATCAATATTAACTTTACTGACATTTATTACGGTTATATAAGAGAATATTTCTATTCTCAGGAAATATACACTGAAGTATCTAGAGGAAAAGGGCCATGATCTATGAAGCAACCAAATGGTTTCAAAAATAAAATGTCATATAGAAAGAGGGAGATAGAAAGAAATAGCAAGGGAGCATAAGCATGCCAGCACACACACAAATAAAGCAAATAGGGCAGAACATTAACAGAAGATGAATATAGATAGAAGGTATATACCACCATTCATGCAAGTTTTCTGTAAGTTTGAAATTCTTTCCAGCTAAAATTAAAATATATAGAGAGATCTTCTGAATAAGATGACCTAAGTTCATGCTGCAATACATCCCTTCAACTTTACACATACAGCGATAGATAAAATTTAAGAAGAGAAAACCAAAAAAATAAAGTCAGTCTAAAAACTAAGATAAACGTCTCTGTAAGCCAGAAAAAGCACAGAAGTTCAAAGTTGTGTGCAATACCAAAGGTAGGGTCTGCAAGCAGACACTGACAGCTGACAGTTCTGCTCCTGTGGGTAACTGGGACTAAAAGTGCTCCATATAAGATGTGAGACAAAAACCAGACTTGATAATGACAGCCAAGGTTGTTGATGAAAAAAAGCTTGACGCTTAGCATGAATTGCAAAGGGCTACATTCCCCTCTGCTTTGAGCACAACCTTCAAAGAGATAGCAGGTCACTCACCTCTTTATTTGAAAGGCACTTAATAGTTTGACAGTTTCTGGCAGAACAAAGTTCACTAGTTTCTGCTTCCTGCGTCAAGAAAAGGAGCTTCTGACCCATTAAGTCCAAGCATTCTAAAACACTGTAAAGAAGTAGAAGAGATCAAAGGAAGAACAACAGTTTTCCCTAACCTAAGACTTACTTCTCTGTACTTGCACTGTCTAAATAAAGTAGCCACTAGCACATGTGGCTATTTAAATTAAAATTAATATCAAATAAAATTGATACGCATTAGTCACATACTGTACTGTGTGGACCTTACTGGACAGCACAGATCTAAAACAATTCCATCACTGCAAAAGTCTTAATGGACAGTATTGCTCTATATTTAGGAGAAGAAAGGATAAGCATGAAAAATACTCAAAGCTCTCTAACAAGTTTATATTCTAAGGATCTGACACATTTATTATGGTGTGCTGATGAACTCCTTCCAGGCCTGTTTTTTGTTCTTCCCTAATCTGGGCAATACATCAAGGCTATAGGTGACTCTTCTAAACAAAATACTCACTAGTCTATCATCTCCCCTAATGCTACTTAGTTCACTATATTTCAATGTCTTCCTTTTTGGTAAAAGAGTTAAGACTAGTCACTACATTTAGAAGATAAGAAAAACAAACAGGTACTATTTAGGGTGGAAGGTAAGGGTATTTTTCCCTCCCTGGTTTTTGTGATGGTAGAATGTTACTCATACTATTGGTAAACATTTGTCAATAGACTCAAAAAAGGGGAAAAAAAATGCACAGGTTGTGTAAATAAGAAACCAGACACTCTATTTGTTTTTGTTCTTGTTTAGAACTGAAAAATATTACCTTGTGTTTGGCTGATAAACTATTTCTGCTGTATTTCTCAGCTCTTGGTCTGCTGCTAACAATTCTTGGTGACTAGCTAGTGCCTCCAGATTTAGTTCTGCAATCTTGAAGAAAATAAAATGGTAAAAATCATCTAATTCCCTACAAAGCATTTGAGTTTTAAAGTAAAATAAAACACCAAAAAGCAAAAAAAATCCAAGAAAAGCCCACTCAAGTGGTGTTCTCTACTTCTGTAGACAGTGGCTTTGCCATTGCCATAGTCCCAGGTTGGCTTCAATAGCTACCAGATGGTTTCTGACCGCTTAGCCAAGAATGGCAATCTGTTACCAGCTGCTGATGTTGTTACATGAATATGGGAAAAGGCCAAGTAAAGCTAAGTATAAAGGGATGGCAATTTGGGCTCATCACTTATCCCATACTCACTTAAAATTTACTTCTTTGTGAACATACAACTTTTGGAAATTCTAAAAAAAATGGCTTTTATAGCAACATCAAAAAAAGATCTTTTATTGGTTTAATACAAAATCAGTTTATTCTTCTTCCATAAAGTGGGAGACGACTTGGGAGTTGCAATGTAGAGAGTGAGATCCAAACTATTATCGTTATTTATATATTCCATAAGACATTTTAGAATGTCTTTCTACCACTGTGACACAAAACACTATTCTGGATGCTTATGATTCTACAAAGACTATAATTTATTTCATAGTGGAGTCATGATAGAACATATCATGCAATGGGACATCTAATAAGTTAGAATGCATTGTAACAAGGTCTGTAAGAAACAGTCTCCATCAATGTCTCCCTTATGTGCTATTCTAATCTACACCCACCGAACTGCTGCTGAAACAATGGCATGCTCCCCTCACCCCAAAAGAGCAAAATTCTATGTAGATTTTTCATAATTATTACAATTATCAGTATACAATGAGCCACACATTATAGTGCTTAATATATTCAAGACACTGTACTAACAGCTTTATATAAAATATCTCATTTACCCTCACCAATATCCCAGAGAAATGTGTTTCCATTTTACAGATGTAAAACTGAAGTTCTTTAGAGAAACTGACCCAGATTATGTAGCTGAACATAGTACTTTTTTTCCTTTAAGATTTTAAAGTAATCTCTACACCCAACATGCGGCTCAAACTCACAACCCTGAGATCAAGTCACATGTTCCACTGACTGAATAAGCCATGTGCCCCTGTACCATCTTTATTTAAAAACAGATAAGCCCAACTTCAGAGACTACATACTTTACTACATTATGCTAGTCATACAGGTCTTAATTCCAAATGCTCAGCTTGAATTACACTCCTACTTTTGTACAGAAAGGTAACAACAGGAAATGGTCTGTGACTACCTGTTCTAGTCTCATAATTTTAAGAAAAGCAAACATATAGGTCAAAGATACTAACCTTCCTTGGGCCATACTTAAGGAAATACCGAGCCAATTCAAGGGTGGTTCTAGCATCTTCTGTGGCATCATGACCAAGCCTATCTGGACACTGAATATCTTTCCTGGAAAGTCAAGATAAAGCTGACATACTCGACAGCATTTTCAATGATAGGTTCTTTGAACCACCTCTAATATTCTGGTTGCATGTAAAATTTCAGCAATCTGATAATCAGATTTTATCACAACAATCAAGATTCCTTTATTTCTAAGTGCCAGCACAGTACCTGGAGTAAGAGGCACTGACGATGTATAATGATCAGGAATGGCTTTGTCTACAGCAAGCATATCATCTGGACAAAAGGCTACCCAATAAAGTTTCTGGCCACTCCCCAGCCAACCCCTTGCCTCATTCTTTTAGATGTAACCACTATTTAAAGTCACCTTCCAGAAATTTTATATTTGCATGCAAGTGTCTATAGGTACTTCAATTTTTTCTTGGTCTTTTTCAAAAACCTTAAAAAAGTACATATGTTTGTGTCTGTAAATTTATCTAGATCTAATCTACATCATACTGATATCTAGGCATATATAGATCTTGTTCTGCATCTCCATTTTATTCTCAGTAGTACTTTAAGAGAGTTCCTTATTAGCACATACAGATCCATCACATTCTTTTAACAGTAACAAAGTATTCAGTAATACAGATAAACGTAATTTATTTAACCACTCCTATAGAATATTTGCAGTTTTTGGCTGTTTTAAACCATACTATAATGAACATCTTTGTACACATGTGTTTGTACATAAGAGGATACATTCAGTATAAGAACATTATGTTTTCAAATTCTGGTTAACTTTTCTGACAGTTCTGTCCAGTTCTATCCATCAACCCTCAGATGTGAATGTAAACCCCTTTTGGTATTACCATAACTTCTTCATCTCTGAGTCATACTTCTCTGGAATTAGGATCCCAGGACTCATAAGAAGGGAAAAGAGTAATGTTTACAGACTAAGAGGGAGAACAGAGACCCTGAATTTTGCAGTATGAATTAAATAAGAAATCATATGCTAACTTATATGCAACTTGTCAGGACAATATTATAATATGCAAACAACCTACCCCAAAACAGCTTTGGCTAAGAACTTTAGCTTAAATCTTCTGCCCTGCTCTCTGACATAAAGCAATGATGTATCAATAACATATGGATGTATCATCTGAGGAGGAAAGAGAATAGAATGAGTGGCATCCTATGCTAAAGGAAAAAACAAGTGGGCTGAGGGAATAAAAGAACCCAAGATTTCAGATTTGAAATAAATGGAAAAGGCAATATATACTAGAAAAACTAAGTCAGATACTCACTTTCAGTGCTCTGAGATCCAAGTCTAAGGAATGGCCCACTAACACAGCATCAGGAGGAAGCAGTGCTTTTAAATGTCTCTGTACATCTTTGAGTTTGGTTGTCACTGGGTTAAGAATCTTCTTTGTGATTCCTGAAAAGCTTTCAATAAAAAGAGAAATGGACAGGTCAGGATATTAATAGGTTTTCCTCCCTGAAAAGTCATTTCAAAAGAATATTTCTAAAAATTAATACATGCTCGGTTTAAAAAGGTTGAAAATACAGATAAGAGGAAATTTAACCCAAAAATCCCATGACCTAGAGATGATCACTTTTTACATTTTAGTAAATATCCTTTCATATTTTTTGATACATATATTCATGTATATATATATATATTTAAAAGATTTATTTGAGAGAGAGAAGCAGAGAGAAAGAGAGAGAAACCTCAAGCAGACTCCCCGCTGACTGCAAAGCCCCTGATGCAAGGCTCAATCCCAGGACCCAGAGATCATGACCTAAGCCAAAATCAAAAGTTGGATGCTTAACCAAATGAGCCACTCAGGTGCCCCCATGTATAGATTTTATTTTATTATTTTTATTTATTTTAAAGATTTTATTTATTTATTTGACAGAGAGAGACACAGCGGGAGAGGGAACACAAGGAGGGGAAGTCAGGGGAGGGAGAAGCAGGCCTCCCACCGAGCAGGGAGCCTGACATGGGGCTCGATCCCAGGACTCTGGGATCATGACCTGAGCCGAAGGCAGATGCTTAATGAGTGAGGCACCCAGGTGCTCCTGTATATATTTTATTTTTATAAAAATGCAATCATAATGCATGTTACTTTATAACATGGTTTTATCATTTGCCATATATCATTATCAATAAATCTATTTCAACACATCCTTTCAAATGGTTAGAGTATTTCATTATATGGATTTCACATATTTTAACCAATCCCCTACTACTTTCAGATGTTTATATTCCCATATTTTTGAAATGTTGTGACAAACAAGCTTGTACATACATCTTTTCCACAAATGACTGTTCCCCAAGAATACTGTCTAATTATGTCTGCTAATAAGACAATCTTTATCACTATCATGGCCTCTCTGTGCCTAAGGTAAGCAGAATCTATAGATGCAACTTCAAGAATCATGTTTTACTAGATTTTCTTTGCCTAATCACTATAATATGTACATTGTGAAATTACAATTAAAAAGACTAAAATTTTTGAGCTTCAAATTTCTGTTATGGAAAAACTTTGTTTTGTTTTGATTTTTGAGGTCAAGGCAGCTTAAGCTCTAAATCATTTGACTGCCAAATGGTGATTTGCAGATTTTTCAAATGAAGTCTTATCAGAGAGCAAAACTCCAGCTGTTTGGCAGTTGCTACATAATGATTACAACCTGGAGACTTTATTTTTTTTTTAAAGGTTTTATTTATTCATGAGAGACAGAGGGAGAGAGAGAGGGAGAGAGAGAGAAGCAGAGGGAGAAGCAGGCTCCCAAGGAGCAGGGAGCCCGATGCGGGACTCGATCCCAGGACCCTGGGATCATGACCTGAGCCGAAGGCAGACGCTTAACCATCTGAGCCACCCAGGCGCCCCAACCTGGAGACTTTAGACAAGGAAGATCTGCTTACTTAAGGTCACAGGAGGACTAGAGAGCAAGAGGGCTAAAGAGCTTTATACAGTGACATTGTGCAATTTCAGTTTTAAAATTTACAGTTGTGCTACCCCAGCCTTGTCTCTGATAACATAAAAGTAGATAATACCTAAACAAACAGAAACTACAAAGTATTCCTGTTGTCACATTCCACTCTAGTCTGCCAGTACTAGGGATGGCAGAAGGCAAGGTGAAAAATACCTGGTAAGGTAGTCCAGAATCTTGTTGTCAGGTTTAACGAGTTCATCCATAACACAGCAGCCTCCTTCAGCAACCAGTGAGATGCGTGTTAGCTCTCTCCCCTTGGATGTGAGGCACTGAAAAACCAGGCCACAGTCAGACTGCTGAACTGTGGAGACTCTTGCTTCCTCTCATTATTAACACTATCTCAACTGCCATCAACTGTAATCTACTGGGGTCCCAGTGACAATGGCACAACCTTTGCTAACTAGACAGCTCAGTATGAATAAAATTAAAGCTAGGCAGACTGCTGAACATTTCATCTAATTGCTCTGAAAAGGATGTGCTCAAGGAAGATGGATGGAAATAACATCAATCATCATTTTACCATTTATTGTGTATGACATCCCAGTATTAGCCGAGTACCACTAGAAAGTAATTTTTTATTAATATGCTCTATTATCATCTAAGGCAATACTAAAAATGATGAGGTACCTCTGTTATTATCCCCACTTCACAGAGAGAGAAGCTGAGAATGAGAGGTTACAGAATTTGTCCAAAGTGACAACGCCATTAATAGGAAAGGCCAGGATACACACTCTGATATGAGATTCAAAAACTTTAGCTCTTAGCCACTCTGTTAAGAAATGAGAGACTGGTACCTGAGTACTGATAGGGGATGCCCTGTCTTTGAAAGGAGACTTACTAATTAGACAAAGTAAAACACAACGGGAGCTTGAGGGAAATCCTACTTCTGATCTTAAATGTGTAAAACTAAGCCAAACCAATGGTAATTGAGTCAAAGTCTTTAGGGGAACAATAAAACCCTGTTCAAAAGACAGAAGAAGTAAACTTATAGTAAATGACAGAGATTTGGTTAAACATAACAACTAGTTAAAAAACTTATGTGATATTTATTCTTCATCCTGGAGCATATATCCAAGTTTTCTAAAATGTGAGTAAAAGGGTCTACTTTCAGTTATTTAAACCAAAATACTGGAACTAAATGCACCGGTTAACTGGTGCATTCGACTCAAGAAATCATCTTCTACTAGACTGTAGTTTGTAACTCTCCAGGTGAAACATTAAAAGTAGTACTTACCATTTCACAGTCAAGTCCAAAGAGAGGACTGTTGTCTGTTACAGAACCATTACATTTGGTAGGTACAAAGTTTTCACAGTCAGGAAAACCTGGGAGGAAAAGAAGTAAAATATCTGCTTTTAAAACTAGAGATGATAAACATCACTCTTAGAATCATTCACCGAGGGAAAACTGAAATACCGTATTTGCTGGACACCTTGTCTGTTAGACACTTGAAATATAAAAATTATATGAGAGACAATGTCGGTCCTCAAGTTTTTCTCCATCTGCTCATTTTTATAATCTGGGAGAATACTACAGGCTGCTCTTATAGGGGATACTAGAGCCTGGACTTCTTGGCAGTTACCAAGTAACAATTTTTCCTCCATATAAGAGATTATAACTAAATTGTAGCTGGGGCTTCTGGGTGGCTCAGTCAGTTAAGCATGCAACTCGATTTTGGCTCAGGTCACAATCTCAGGTTTGTGAGCCCCACATCAGCTCCACACTGGATATGGAGCCTGATTAAGATTCTCTCTCTCCTCTCCCTCTGTCCCTTTCCCTTGTGTGCATGCACGCTCTTTCTCTCAAAAAAAAACCCAAACCAAAACAAAAAATATCTAAATTTTGGCTAAATCCCAAGTCACTGGACCTTTTCATGTAGGCACTAAAGGAGGATAATAAAGTATGCAAAAACTGCATGTAGCATCTTTCTTTCCTAAATAAAGAAAAAGTAGGAATGAAATTCCATCACAATAGAGATCTAAAAGGATTTCACTGTAGGCAGAAAGCAACATTCACCACGTGCACCTCTGCACCCAACTCTACCCTTGAGACTCCCCTGAGATCTCTGTTCAGAAACATGCCTGCACTTTTCTGGAGTCATAGCCTGAAAATTCCCTACAGGAACGCACCTATAGGCTTAAGGTACCCCCTCCGTTGTGTACCCTTCTTAGTCAATAACCAGGCATATTCAGCTCAGGGGTCCCAAACTGTTTGAACCATTGAAAATTCTTACCTTCAGACAGAGGCTTAAACAGTAAAAATACCTAGATCTTGTATGACAAGAAACAAAGTAGAGTTTGAGGAACTTTGACCAGTTTCTATGTCATAGTACCTCAAAAGTGCCAACTAATTACAATTAAAAGAACCAAAATATGGTCTAGACCAGAAAAGAGAGGCAAACCCAAATCTGGGAGACTTTATACTGCTGCCCTTATCTATATGATTAGTAGCAATAACAAAAAATAACTTTTCAAAAGCACTATGTGCCACCCAATATGCTAAGCACTTTTGTATACCTTAACTCATTTAATCCCCATGGCAATCCATGATATATGAGTTATTAACTCCATCTTACAGATAGCATATGAAAAGATGTTCAACATCATCAGCCATTAGAGAAACAGAAATCGAAATCATGAGATACTGCTTCACACCACTATAATGGATATAATCAAAAAGACAGAATAACAAGTTGTTGGTAAGAATGTGCAGAAACTGAAACCCTTATACATCACTGGAGGGAATGTAAAATGGTATAGCTGCTCCAGAAAAAGTCTTATAGTTCTTCAAAAGGTTTAACAATTATCATATGACCCAGCAATTCTACTCCTAGGGATATACTTCCCCAAAATGAAAACATATGTCCACACAAAAATTTGTACCTCAATGTTCATAGCAGTATTATTCATAATAGCCAAAATGTGGAAAACCAAATGTCCATCAACTAATGAAGAAAATGTTGTATATCTATATACAGAATATCATTTGAATGAAAATAAATGAAGGTGACAGACGGCAGCTACACTTAATAAGCACAGCATAATTACAGAGCTGTCAAATCACTATGCTGTACACCTGAAACTAATGTAATACTGTGTGTCAAACACTATACTTCATTAAAAAAAAATTGCTTGTTAAATCTTAAAAAAATAATAAGTAGGATTAACTAAAATAAACGAGTTTTCATATATGGATGGTGCCACACATATTATTTTCAAACTAAATTTGTATATCTATACCCGACGTGGGGCTCAAACTCAGAACCCTGAGATCACGAGTCTCATGCTCATCTGACTGAGCCAGCCAGATTCCCCCTAAAACTAAATTATATTTAATCTTACTAAAATTAAATTTAAAATAAAAGGAAAAGAAATTAAAAAAAGAATGAAGTACTGATACATGCTACAACATGGATGAACCCTGAAAACTTTATGTTAAGTGAAAAAAGCCAGTTACAAAAGACCAGATATTGTTTGATTCCATTTATATGAAATATCTGTAATAGGTAAATCCACAGACAGAAACTAGTGATTGCCTAGGGGGTAAGGGTGTGTGTGAAAAATAATAGTACAGGGTTTCTTTTGTGGTGTGAAAGTAGCCTAAAATTGATTATGGTGACGGTTGTAAAACTCTGTAAATACACTAAGAACTACTGAATTGTATTATGTTAAATGGGTGAATTATATGGTATATTAATTATATATCTCAATAGATTGGGCTTTTTTTTAAAGAAATTTAACATTACTGCTATAATTAAAAGGTAATAAAGAAAATAAAATGAAATTAAAGCACTTTTGTTAAATTCTTGCTATATAACTGACCAAGACTCTGAGCCCAGACTTGTTCTATTCATTGAAGAAAATGAAGATGGGGTATGGTGGGGTAAGAGGAAGACTGGAAGTACTAGAGAAGTGTTAAAGACATATTGACTTCCTTTTAATATAGTAGGAAGGAATGAAAGAAAACTGAAAAAGGAATAACTTTTCTCACAGAATATTTCAATGATATTTAAGGTCATGTTTATGCACTATCCGAAATCATCACTTTACCAATCATGGTACACATCTACACTTACAGTGTTTCCTTATTAATATAAGATGGACTAAGTCATTTGGAAAGCAGCCAAAACAATGAACTTTCAACAGTAATAGTTTCAAATAAACTGTTAAATATTCTTACATTGTTACCAACATCAGATTAAATATAAACCTACCTTGTAATGGAAAGTGAAATGTTTTCATTTCCTCCTTTGTGAGAAGGCATCTGGTTAAGCCCACTTTCTTAGAGCCATACTTTTGAATAATAGGGTCATTCTGCAGGTTGATGCTGACTTTTGAACTGGCAGAAGGTAAAGACCCTGAAACAAAGAGAACAATTAAACTTACATCAGAGTGTGTGTTCAAGAAGGGACACCTGGGGGCGCCTGGGTGGCTCAGATGGTTAAGCGTCTGCTTTCGGCTTAGGTCACGATCCCAGGGTCCTGGGATCGAGTCCCGCATCGGGCTCCCTGCTCCTTGGGAGCCTGCTTCTCCCTCTGCCTCTCTCTCTCTGTCTCTCATGAAT